GAGAATGCGAAAATTAATATTAAGAGCGAGACAAATGGATAAATCAATTGTAGTTGGGAATTTGATATGAATAGAGAGAAAAGGATACTTGAGAAATGATATCTAATGACGCAAGTAAAGATAAAACAATTGATACAAAAGGTATGGAGAACAAAGGATGAAAGAGAAATTCATGGAAATAATGAGAAAAGTACTTTGAAAAGCTGTAAAAGAAACAAAACGAACGGAAATAAAAAAATTGACAAAGGAAACACGAGAAAGAAAAAAAGAAAGAAAGAAAAGCGAAGTGGAGTAATGTTAGCTGTAATGATTTCATTTGTTGGAGAGAAAAGGAAAGAAGAAAAAAGAACGAGCGGAAATGTATGGTAAGTACTGAACTCGAAAATCATTATCGCAGGAAATAAAGAAATCTAGAAAAAATCAAATAAAAATTTTAAAAAATAAAAAAGGATAAAAGGAGGAAGCATTATAGAATACAACTAACAAACAAAATTATTCTAATTATTCAAATAACATTATTTTATGAGTTGTCATATTCGCCCTCAGCGCACGCAATCTAGTTTATTCTCGTAGTTTAGTCTACCTCATTTCTGATTGGTGTAGAGCAGATAATGGACCAATCAGAAACGCGCTAAAATCAATTTTAGGTTTCGCTAGACTTTGTCACAGGGTTGTTTAAATCTCAGGGTCGTTTAAACCTCACTTTTGATTGGTCAATTACCGCCGTGTACCTAACCAATAAGAAAAGGAAATCTAAATAGACCAATCAGAATTTATTTGACTTTGTCACATGATTGCTTTGGCCTTACTTCTGATTGGTCAGATTTAAGGGTAGCTAAACAATGAGAAAAAAGCAATTGAAGCTCGTGTACTCCCACRAACGTGTACTCCCATGAAGTCACATGWCTGGTGAGATTTGATTAGAAAWRATAATCATGGTAAAATCGTGTAAAWTATTTGATATTATGATCAATAATGGACTAACAAGTCATCTTGTGCTGTGATATTAATGGGAATATGGCGGCCATCGATTAGGACGGTGACRCARCTGAATAAATGAGATGCAGGAGTATGGATTAATTGAGTAAATGTTAGTGGTCAATGCTTTTAAAAAAACTCAATTTTAAATAAAAAAAGGAAAAATGGAATGCAATAAGATGAATAGAAGGATAAAAAGATGCAACGGACGAGATGGGAAGGGATAGGAAAGGATGGGATAGATAGGCGGGATAGATGGGATAGGATTGGATAAGATAAGATAGGATAAATGGGGGAGTTGGCGGATAGAAAAAAGGGGATAAAATGGGATAGGATGGGATAAAATGAGATAAGACAATATGAATGGGAGGGAGAGTTGGGATGAAATAAGAGAAATGAATTAAAAAAACAATGTGAAGGCAAAATTAGCAAAAACGTTACATCACAAGCAGTTTTAAATTAACATTAATTGGATTATAATTAACTAAAGTCAAAACAGGTGAAATAACTCCCAACTAATGAAAACTTGTAAATTAAACACATTTAAAACTCCAACATTTCTGAATCATGATCAACCTCATAGTCTGTACTGAAGTAATGAATGCAATAAAAAAATGTATACTTCTGCATCAAATAATTAATAATTTTCTCATCTTTTCTTAATTCTGAAATATTTTCTTAAAGTGTAAGCATATTGTCACTAATGTCTAGGAAAACTGGTAGATTCATTTTGAAAATAGATCAACCTGTTTTTGGCCCCCTCCAAAAGTTACAAAATCTCTTTTTTTAACGGTTTCTCAGTGAAAGATACAAGAATATGGATAC